GTAGCCCCGATTATTGCTGACTTAAGCATCGGAGTGTCTACCCCGAGTTCCACCTCGGGGCTTTGCAAGTCATCCCGGAGTGCAAGCGCGGATTGAAGAAAGACTTCCGATTTGGTGCAATTACATTGGCGCCGTCTGTGGGAATCGAACTGAAAGCTTTCTAGTTGCTCTTCCATCATGGTTCACACTCGATCAGTCTGAGCTGGTAATTCATCTCTGCCTCATGGGCAGGGTCAACCCCCCACCAACCTTCCACCTCTGATCCCATCTCAGCTTCCACCTCAGCTTCCACCTCAGCTTCCACCTCAGATCCCAACTATATTCCCTCCTGTTGATCATGCAGAAGGAGGAGATGAAAACCAACCTCATGCCTCAGCTCACAACTCAACTTCTACTGCCAACCAAGATGTAGTGACAGCTCAGCTTGCTGCCATGCAACAACAGTTTGGTGTTTTTCAGTTGGTACTGGCCCAGCTTTTAGCCAGAAACAATCCTGGTGACCCCCTTATTAATTTACTGAATCCTGCTCAACAACCCCCAGCTCCACAACAGAATCCTCAACCGGTTCATCATGCTCCCGCTATTAGCGAATCTCAGGCTCAATCCCACATCGCCCCCGCTCAACAACCCATCCCTGATGATGTTACTCGCCGCCTCGATAGTCTGGAAAAGCTAGTAGTTGAACACCAAGGTGCTCCACCCCCACACCATGCTACTGATTCTATACCTCATCCTCTGAATACCAACATTACACTGGAACCCTATCCTGCTGGCTTCAAAATCCCACAACTAGAGACTTATGATGGGACAAAGGATCCCGATGATCATCTGCATGCTTTCTACTCTTGCATGCAAGCTCAGAACGCCTCTAACGCGTTGATGTGCAAGATCTTCCCCTCTACTCTCCGAGGTAATGCCCGAACTTGGTATTATAGTTTACCTCCGAGGTCAATTAGCTCGTATACAGAAATGGCATCTACCTTTGACACTAAGTTTTCCAGTAGAAGATTGATTAGGAAAACTACTTCTGAGCTGATGAAAGTTAAACAGAGAGATGGAGAATCTCTGAAAAACTATATGAGCAGGTTTAATGATGCAATTTTAGAGGTTAGTTCCTTTGATCAAGCTGTGGGAATTGCAGCTGTGATTTCCGGTCTCAAGCATGACAGGTTCAGAGACAGTTTGATCAAACATGCTGCCACCACCTTCAGCGAGGTGAACGATAGGTCTTTGAAGTTTATAATCGCTGAGGAGTATGCCCTGGCGCAAAACTCACCCCCCTCTAAGAACCAGAACCCAGAATGGAGAGATGACAATCCGAGCAGGAAAAGGATGAGGGTGGCGCAGAACCGAGGTCCGATGTTGACCTCCCCACCAAGATTCGGAAGGACGAACTCCACACCCCCGCAACAATCTGTAGGTAAACCTCCAGTTAATTGGACTCCCTTTAATCTGCCGAGGTCACAAATTTTTATGCAGATCAAAAATAAGATGGACTTGAGACGTCCTGGCCCAATGCGAACTGCCGCTGCTAGTCGAGACCATACCAGATATTGTGATTTTCACCAAGATCACGGCCATACTACAGAGCAGTGTAACAGTTTAAAGTCCGAATTGGAAAGTTTAGCTCAGAAGGGAATGCTGAATGAGTATGTTCAGAGAGCTGAACAGCCGAGGTTTGTTAGAGAACAGAGGCCGCAGCCTTAAGGAGTCCGCAATCCCCCAAATAGACAAGGTGTGGGATATCAGCAAGCCCCACCTCCGCTCCCACCACCAGCTAGAATCATACACATGATTACAGGAGGCCTTGAAGCAAGTGGACTAAGCTCTAAGCAGCGAAAGCTGTATGTTAGAGAGGTTAAACATCAAAACCGAGCTCAGAAGCGGAAGATTGACGATGCTGAGTGGAAGAATCAACCCATTACTTTCACATCTGCCGACCTCGACACAGTTGTTACACCCCACAATGATCCTCTGGTCACTTCTGTCATGATCAATAATTGTGAAGTATAGCGTGTCCTTGTTGACACCGGGAGTGCACCAGACATCATGTACTTCCACTATTTCGAGAGTCTGGGACTAGATCCAGCATTGTTGCAGAAATATGATGGTCCTATCTATGGTTTCAATAACCAACCTGTTTCGGTAGAAGGAGTTCTTACCCTCCATGTTGCTTTTGGGAGTGGCAGGACCTATGTAACCCCTTCAGTCCGATTCCTCATCGTCAAGATGGCGTCCTCTTTCAACATTGTCATTGGCCGACCCACATTGATTGAAATCCGAGCTGTGGTTTCCCAATCTCAACTCTGCATGAAATTCCCAACTCCTATGGGAATAGCAACACTACGAGGAAACCAAGAGGTGGCCAGACATTGTTATATCACCTCGGTAACACAACCTATGAAGGGCAAAGATCAGACACCCGAGGTCATTCCCCAGCGAATTGCTGATAATCAGCAAGTTATGGGTGTAGAGATCGTCGATAATCGACCGGATGATGAAGCCAAAGCTGCTCCAGTCGAAGATGTTGAAGAAGTGCTTGTTGATGACAAAGATCCGAGCCGAAAGAAGCAGATCGGAACTAAATTGAGCCCAGAGGAGAGAGCAGAGCTGATAGCTTTTCTCCGAGCTAACAATGATGTGTTCGCATGGACTTCGGTAGATATGCCAGGAATTCCAAAGTCAGTGTCTCAACATAAACTCAGCACCAATCCATTGAAGAAACCAGTGGCCCAGAAGCGGCGTCTCTTCGGGGGGGAGAGGCTTTAGGTTATCAAAGAAGAGGTAGAGAAACTTCTACAAGCTGGTTTTGTCAGGAAAGTGGATTACTGCGAATGGGTGGCAAACCCAGTCCTGGTGAAGAAGGCAAACGGTAAATGGCGAATGTGTATCGATTACACAAACCTTAACCATGCCTGCCCTAAGGATTGTTATCCGATGCCGAGCATTGATAAATTAGTTGAAGCGGCTTCAGGCAATGAGAGGTTAAGCCTCTTGGATGCATATTCTGGGTATCACCAGGTGCCAATGGCTCCCGAAGACGAAGAGAAAACCTCGTTCTATGCCGGCGATGAAATTTATTATTATGTCATAATGCCGTTCGGTTTAAAGAACGTAGGTGCTACTTATCAGAAAATGGTGACCATCGTCTTCCGAGCTCAGATCGGCAAGAATCTGGAGGTGTATGTGGATGACATTGTGGTAAAGAGTCTGAAGGCAGAAAACCATCTAGCCGACCTCGACGAAACCTTTAACAACCTCAGAAAGAACCGGATGCGGTTAAACCCAGCCAAGTGCATCTTCGGAGTGGAGTATGGAAAGTTTCTAGGTTTCATGGTGTCCCGAAGAGGGATTGAGGTCAATCCAGAGAAGATCAGAGCAATTGCTGAGATGGAACCGCCGAAGTCAGTGAAAGATATACAGAGGCTGACTGGAAGGGTGGTAGCTCTGCATCGGTTCATATCGAAGTCAGCAGATAAATGTTTGCCATT